GTGTAGCATAGCTCTCAACGAATGTAGTCCTGTAAATAAATGAATAAAGAAATTGTGTAATAAAATGCCTCTGGCGGGACTCGAACCTGCGACCTCTCGCTGTCAAGGCGAGCGTCATAACCATTAGACCACGGAGGCTTCATGGTTGAATAGATTCAAATACCACCAGATACACTGTATTACACAATAAATAAGGCTAGAAACAAATACAGTCGAGTCCGCCAAAGTCGACTCTGTTTAAGTCGAAACTTCGCGTCAGTCGAATTTTTGAAAAAGTCCCAATTCTTTCCTATGTATTACTGTGTAAATTGTTTGTTTAATTCGAATTTTTATAAGTCGAATTTCGGGTATATCGACGGAATTTTCCGGTCCGGATAGGCCGATTTTAAAGTAATTTCAACCACACTAGTTCCGAATTTAGTAGCGCACGTGGGAAAAATACACAGCCGTGGGAAAATACGAAGTTCAATATTTGTTGTACGGCAATAAGTTAGCCATGTCAAACTAACATCTTAGACAGCGAGCTGTGGAACTTGGCTCACATGATCATATGTCGCAGTCTACTCTCACAATACAGACACCCCTCCGGACCGGCTCCAATGTTCAGTTTACGGTCCAGTTTAGTTTGTAAAACTTGTACTGAACCCATTTCGAACAAGATTTTTGTAGTCTGGGCCTAGCTATTTAATTAATTTATCAAAGCCCTGGATTCTTTTGACTGCCTAGCCTACGCAAATTCAACACATTATTTAATAATACGTACAGTACCGGTACCTGTTGTTTTGCTGTACTGCTCAGCAAATTTAATTATTACCAATAAAACTGCGACTTTTATATTGTTTTTGCGTGCATTTCTTTAGGTCTGATTATGTTTTTCCAAGCACACATTCTTCGTTGGGCAATGCCACTTGCTGGTCGGCAGTCTAGTTGTAAACAGAACAGGTCGCGCCCCCAAAAACTCTGCCTGCCCGCCAATTGGTCCATTTTCGTGGGGTGTTTTGCAGACTAGACATGTGCTTCGACTGTGATGACGTCAGATCGCCCAAAGTTTCATAGTGCATGACAGTAACAAGCTCGGTGTAATCAAGAATTTTTTAATTAAACAAATTTATAAAACAAAACAAAAAACAAATAAGAAACCCTCATGGTATATTTTAGAGTCAAATCTAAATAAACCTAACAAATTATATTTTATTCTCTACAAATTTCTTCCGTAATTAAATTAGCAACATGTTTTGAAAAGCGTCTTCAGTTTAACGAATGAATGAGGTGCATTTAAAATTTACACTGACGAATCTAACGAACTTGAATTCTAGACGTCTACTGAAAAGAGTACCGGTAACCAGTAGAAACTTGCTTTGTTG